AAACTTCTTGGACTTGTATGCATTTATATTTAGTACTATGAACTTACTCGTTGTGTAGTCGTTCCAACGGGATACTCAAATAACTACAGCTCATATTGACCTATACAAATATAATATAGCACAGCTGCTTAACTCTAACTTAAGATTCGACTTGAAGTGTTGAAATTCCTTGAGTGTGGTTATACCCATATATCGCGTGCCCTGTCTGAGACATCATTATAATTGACTGCCGTTTCATAATATGTTTAGGCACGCAGGTCAGTATCCGAAGAAAATGTGGTGTGTTTTTCACAAGAATTGAACAGATTTAGCGGTTTACATTTATCTATTATAAAATAAATACATAATGTATAATGTATAATGTATTAACCGGTTGTTCTAGCATTTTATCATATACAATTGTTCAAAAATAAGATATTGTTAAGATAGCGTAATATTATATAATATGAATAGATTTTTTTAATCTTTTCGAGGGTATGCTTGCATAATGTTTACGAAATATTGGAAATATTAAGATAAATAAAAAAAGAAGTATTAAAAGATGTACGAATACATCTATGTACTAATTTACAAGTGGCTAAATTTTATATAATACCGGTATATTTTATGTACCTATACTACTTATGACTGTCGCATTATCAAGACATGTGTTCAAAAACATGTTTTCGTATTTCATGAAAAATATGAAGATCAAAATATTTTCAATTTAGAAAGACAATAACTTTATCAGTGTTTTTAGGGAATAAAATCCATTCATTATTCGATTGCAAATAAAATCAAATGTACATACAAGTAATCCTTTTGACAGAATAGAGATAAAGTTTACCTATTTAAGACGTATGGAAAAAAACAATATTGTCTATTGTCTCAAGTATAATCTTTGATTGACAACTAATGAAATACAGTAAATACTTTCGTCATACTATTATGGAGCTATGGTTGTAGTAGCTTGTGAGATTTATATTTTATCTTTACTATATTATAATTAAATGCTAAATTAATAAATACTACTACATGCAAATACCAACCGGAGTCCCAACCAAAACACGAGAATAACAAGCCTGGGCAAGTTAATGATAATTTTCAATTCAGTTAAGTTAAGATGATAAAAAATATTTTATTAAGTTTAAAGTTAATAGTTATCCTAATTGTATTTTAACAAAGTTAAGTTGAAAGTTATATGGAAACTTACAATTAACTTATGAACTATGTCATGTTATTTTTAATGTATAAATAGCCTCATATGGTTTAAAATAATAAAAAGTATATGTTTATGCAATACACATCATTAATATGATAATTGTGTTATATATTTGATTATTTATAAATGAACTTAATTTAGATTTATTTTAGTTAAAAGTAACTCGTTCTTCATTAAGTTTATATCGATAAAAATCAGTTAAGATAAAAATTAAGTTATGGGGACGGAGTGGCCGAGTGGATAACGCGTCGGTCGCAACGCGCACCGTCGCCGGTTCGAATCTCGGTCACGGGTGGCACTTCTCTCCGGGCAGTCACGGTGTCTGGAGAGAGAGGCCGCCATCCCCCAACCGGGTATGGCAGAAACCTACGGGTGCCCACTAGAAATTCTGCCAAACAAACACACACGTGTTCCATAACCCTACAGTAACCCAACAGTCCCAAAAACCCTACAGTACCACAACCTACAGCTAATGGCCTCAGTTGCCGAAGCTTAAGATAAAAAAAAAAAAAAAAAAAAAAATTAAGTTAATGAAAACTAAATTTAAAAAAAATTAAATTAACTTAGCTTCAACTTTTTAACTTGTATATGCCAAGGCTTGGAAAATAGTACTTAATAGGAATATGTACTTCTATTTTGTTGGTATCCAATTATGTTAAAATAAGGGTGTTCTTAAAATATAAACCACATATAAAAAACCTTAGGATCTGTAGATCGTTGTATTTTTCTTTCTATACAACTTTAGATAATTATGTAAGAGGATTATGGCACAGCACTGATTCTATAGTGGTCTTCGACGTTCAAACGTACGACATAGCAAGTTTGCTTTCAGCCGAACCAATTTTGTATTGTTATCCAACTTAACATTTTAACATTAAAGTGAAACTGTCAAACTTAAAAGCGACAACATTATCTGGGTTCATACATTGGTTTTTATGATATTTCAGTTTTCATTCGTGTTATGAGTACCTACCCATGTAAACTATTACTATACTAAGACGGTCATAGCTCTTTTAAGAATTAAAATATCGTTAAAAATTAATACAGATATTATAATATGTTCCTGCCTTTACGATTTAATAATGCACTTTAATATTAAAGCGAATAACACACATTTGTGATATTGTACGTTTGCAGTAAGACGGAGACAATATGTGCTGATGTGTTTATGTGTCGTCTTAATTCTTAATTAAGTCTTAAGACTTGAGAGGACCTTTTTGGCATCAACTTTTTGGCCCATGTGCAACATATTAATATGATATTATATTATTATATAGACAAAACGCTTTCATGCACTCATAGTCATTTTTTCTTTTCTTTTGAGTAATATTAGAATAAAATCACCAATTACAAAAACTAATTAGGTACAGATAATAATATTTTTGAGGGTATGATTCGTCTTAATATTGTTTTAAAAGTTAAAAATTTCACAATTTAAAAACAATTTTAATTAGGTTTAACATTTTTTATGTTTTAAAAACGTCTTATCGATGTTCAATGATATTTTCCGTGGATTTAAGAAGGACAACAAATATTGTGGTGACATCCTCTTAATAATGATATAACTATCTATATAAAATGTTTATAAAGGTGTTACTATAGAAAGTCATACCAGTGTACCCCTGTGTGGGTGACATTTTGTCTGCAATACTCATGGTAGGGATTAAAGCTATAGATTCCGCCAGTATATTGTGACATAAATAAAAAAAAAAGCATTAATGAAAGTATTTTTTTTCAATCTGTAAATATTTTTGAAAATGATTTATAATCAATAAAGTTGTCTAAAATCCAAAAATCAACGTTTGGTACAGAGTGAAACACACGGAACTCGATTTTGATATCACTATTTAATAATAGGGCTGAGGACTTCTAGTACTTATAAACCTGAAAATATGTATCCACTTATGTAAAAAAAGAAACAACAAATATGCACTTAAAATATTCTCTAAAAAACTAAAACTTATGGTTATTGAGAAGAATAAGACTCAAAAATATATCGTTGGAACACGCACTCGACGGTCACTGCCACCGTCGCCTCCGTCTTTAGAGGTACTCGAGCTTCGTCAGAAACACGTCGGTCTGCGTGTTAGGTACCAGCTGTATTATTACATAAATTATTATATTATTACGCTGACGAACAGTAATAGCCATATCGTAATTCCGATCATTTGCCAACTACGTGGCAGGACACGCCGGGCGAGAATTGTCAGGGCCTATAAATCTAAAAATGGCAGCCGCAGTCACTGATTATCCAATGTCGGCAGGTGACGTCTGCAGCTAATGGTGTAGTAAATAGTTAGACACGTTCGTCATCACAGTGACACACTCGTATAGACTTACTTTCGACCGCTATCGTTCTTTATATGATATCATCAAACAAGACGCATAGATATTGCAGTGGTGTCCAAACGGTCGATTTTGGACAAAGCCGACCCCCCCCCCTCTCCTTGTTAAAACTTACATTGGGGTATTGGATATTAAAAAGTTGGTTACAAATATTTTGGATTGAACTGTTTGTGTGTAATAGAATTTTCTCACACGAAAGCTATAAAACCTGAGCACCTCACTACACTTTCTGAATATTCAGAGTAAAGTCACGGTTCGGTCAGTTACTATTCCCCGGATTACAATCAACTGCAGGCCAAGAATATGCAATGACACGCTTCTACATCAGCTGCAATATAATGTTCAACATTAATTTTCATACTATAAAAATCTTTCATTTTAATTTTATTATTTATACAAGTACCTGCGTTTATTATTAATATTAATTACAAAGAAAGACTATTAAAAATAAAAATTAGTTAAAGTTGACCTTACACGAAAAATACTTACCTATATTTTCAGTAGATCATAATCAAATAAAGTTTGGTCATTCCCGATATAATATAGCGTATATATAATATTACATGTATCGCTAAGTGTGTTTTATAATATCATTGCAGCATTTCAATAAATCACATTTGCCGTCTTGGGATTATTATTTATCGCACACTCGGCGTGGTTGACGGTGGCGACGTTCGATATTGAATTATTGTTATTGTTAATCTCCGAGATAAAACGATTAACAGGTAAGTCTCCCGGATACAATCGATTCGTCAGTATTTGTTTTTTTCGTTCTTAATCTCCCTGCTCGTACCTCCACCGACGACGCCGCTGTAAATCCTATCGCCGTATTAAACAAACAAACAAACGTAAAAAATCCTCCTCATGCCCATGTGATAAAACCTGCAATAAACCTGTCTGTCGGGATTTTTGGTGATAAACTGTGTGGGATCGGCGATAATACGTGCACTGTCCCGAATGCGACGACTGTTCTCACATCGCACTCGATCCCACGCGCTTTGCACGGCACGATCCACAAAGGTTTTCACGGCCAAGCACACTGAATTATTATTATTATAATTTTTATTTTCATTGGTATTCAATAAATTTAATCGATGGTGTTGTTTTCTCGTGGTGTCCATACGGTGTGTACATATAATATCATGTTAAGAACACATTGTTAGTACCAGCCGGCAACCGTTGTATACCAGTGCATAACTATAAGTTGCCCAGCCATTTCCGAGATATTTCCAATCGTCGATCGCGAGTTACGCGCGGGCCACTGTCTACGCGACGGGCGGCTGTTTCATCTAGCCTGCACTGCCCGCGATAGTATTATTATTGTTTTTATCACCATATTGTGTATACTGCACCCGTCCCCGCCCAAAAGTTCGTGACCGGAGTCCGTCGGTTTGGCGGTGGCGACCGGAAGACATACATATCGAAAATCGAGACGACGGTAAACCACTGCGCCATGGTTGAGGTACAGTCGCAGAACACGAGTCCCAAGCCTGTGGTCATTAGGAGGTGCACGGAAGTACCGATGGCTGTCGGGTCACCCACTGCGTCGGAGATGAGGCGTCGCCGGCGACGGCACTCGCGTCTTATGTCCAACGCCTCGTCGGTGGTGTCGGCCGCAGCCGCCTGCATCCCGGCCTCCGAAAAACACAAGATATCGTGAGTATATTATCTATCATTATTATGTCATCGTCATTGTGCGTGTGTTGAGAGGATGTTATAAATTTATAATTTTAAAATGGCCATTAATCGATTCAAAATTAAAATATCAAAGAAACCCCCCTTGGTGGTTCCTGTCTTTATAAATATTAAAATTTACAGAGTAAAACGGATTCTTTTAAACCTAAAATGTACTGTGTTATGCTTTGGAAAAGTGGAGACAACACATGCGGGTATAAAGGCATTTTTAAGGCATTTACAGCGTATGTAAGGAGATCGAGTACCAGGACCGTAGTCATATTTTAATGTAGTTATGCATGGAAACCTGTTACATTAGGTACCTAGAGCGGAGCAATCATCCAGTGGGGTACAAAGCACCACATGTTTCTGTTCAGTATCAAGCTTAAAAATGAAAAAATTATGAAAACTTGATTCAACACATTTGCGTTATACATAAATCTAATCTCGTAGTGTTTTTTTTCTCGGTAATCGATGGACGCACCTAAATCTCTGAACAGCAACAACGAAGCACTTATGCACATGGTAAAGGCCACTATCGGTGGAGGTTTCCTGGCCATGCCCGAGGCCTTTCACAACATCGGCATAGTGATGGGCGTCGTAGGCACAATAATACTAGGCCTTTCCGTCTTGAACATGATGTCGTGCATAGTAAGTACCCACTTGAAACTTATTAGGGCCGATGAAACCCAAACTGAAATGATTATACGAGTTTATTTTTACGCTTAAAAGGAAGGGATACAAAATACACTGCAGTTTCCCCAGCGAGAAATTTGATCTGCGGGCTAATGAATAATATATAATGAATCTGTCAAAAGCACCCTCAATGAAGGATGAATGAGAACAACTGTACCTATAGATTTTTAATGCATATCAATAAACCAGAGAATTTGCTCTGCTTTGCTTTTGAGTATACCTACCTCGTTGTAGTAGTGAGTAGGTCAGTGAAATTGTGTATGTTATGTGTTTGAATTTAATGACAAATAGTTTTATTGTTATACACGAAAAATGATTTTGTGTGGGGATTGTCTAATCCTTAGTATATTTTACAATAGTTTATGAGGAATTTTGTACTATATTTTCATTAAAAATTATCAATTTTAGAAAGCTAAGGCTTGAAAATGTATTGCGGAATTCTTAATATGTAGTTCACTGAAACTCAAAAATCTAAAGAATATTCAAGCATATTTTTTTTAGAAAACACTTAAGTTCAAATATTGACGAAATTTGATGTGTAAACAAAGAATAATAATTTTGGATATTTTGATGATTTAAAAATTTTATTCGATACTTTTAAGTATCTATATGGCTTTATTATTAGACCCAACTATAAAGGTCAGAATGACACTTTCAAAATATTTATACTGAGATTAAAAATATATTCGATACAAATATAATAATATAGACATGTACCATTATAATAATTAATAATAAAATAAATGTTATATTTTTGCAAAAAAATAATTCAATCTACTGTATTAATAATAGTAAAGTAAATTATTATCATGACAATATAAATATATAATAAAATATACTTAGTAATACAGGCTAAGCTCTTAATTGTTTTTAGTACGCTATTTTCTATCATAAAATCCAAATTTAATAAATCTATTACAGTGACCTCCGTGACAAGGTACACACGATACTTACTCAGCAGTGTGACTCCAGTTTATTTAAATAGCTTTTGTAATATTATAAGAGCATTATATTTTAAAAATGAGAACTTTGAGTCGGTACTTAATTTTTGTTCTGTTTCCAGTTTTTGTTAATAATTTACATAGGTTTTTTCTATCGGTTACCTCATTAGGCAGGTATGTCGATTAATTATTATTTATTAATGTATAAGGTGCTAATGGTCAGAATATCGGAGACACAAAAATAAACATTAACTTAAAAAAACATTGGGGAATCAAACTATTAAGTTAATGTCATTACTCATTAGTCATTACAGTACCTAGTCAAGAATGTGTATGTAGTAAAAAGGGCACACCCAAATAAATTTAAAAATTCATGAAACTGTCTGTCTGTCTGCATAGTAGCAGAAGAAGTACTTTGTTATCAACAAGGTCACTGTAAAGGATGCCGTATTAAATTTATATTAATATTTTAGTAACTCCTCTATGATTATAATTTTGGAATTAGAACAAAACGACTAAAATTGTTGTTCTTTTATTTAATATAAAACTCGTCCATATTTCAAACACATATATTAATATAGAAGGGCGAACCTCTAATGTTTTTTTAAAAATAAATTATAGAAACAGTCCCACTTAATAACACTATTTGTTTAAAATGTCACTATAGTTATTCGTACCTATAATATAACTAAGAATTGTATGAAATTATATTTGGTCGTTTCGACACTCTAAAAACACTATAGTATTTTTTGAAATAACTACAATTGCCATTTACATTTTACATTATAAAAGTACCGTAAAACCTTCTTATAACGGACTCCACTATAAGACTGAAATCCTTTAACCTATGTCCCGTATCTTATTCTTATAGTATAATTTCGTTTTGACTAGTGCTTTTATGCTTTAGGTTAGGTGCTCGCAAACATTGAGGTCCGGCAAATACGTAGACATCATATTGGCTGAACAGAACGGTAATAACACAGCAGCCAAGGTAGAAGATGACAAAAATAACAGTAAACCTAGACGGCGGCACAGCAATCAGTTGGTGCTACCACCAATGGACTATCCCGACACCGTGGCCGCAGTGTTCAAGTATCGCGCCGGTGGCCGGTTCGCACGCTTCGCGTCATTTGCCAGGTACGTCAGATAAATAATTAACAATCTTATTCGCAATCAGCTTTATAAGGGTAATAGTGGTGGGGGGAGGGCGTATCTCCCCTGACATCTCTGAAACCTTACACCGGCGTGCCTATCATAGATTATTATAGTTTATGGATATGAAGTAACAAATTTTAACAAGTTTGAATGAAAATTTTTATTGTCTTTTCATAAACACGTGATCCATTATCCCGATCCTAAAAACAACATTAATGTATTTCGTGAGCGATACGCTTGATCATATCCAAGTGTATCGAAGCCCATATTTGTTACATTTCTATTACCATTTTTAGGGTCCCCGCTACGTCTATTATCTAAACTATACTTAGGAAATTTATAATTTCGTCTTCACTGTCTGAGATCTATGTGTAACTTATAAATGATTATTAGTACGAGTGAAATTCAATGCGGGCATCTTTCTCGTACGCACATGCACATGTCTATTACAGCACTATAACACAATTCACTGTAATAATATTACTACAGCTTACTTATTGTTTTGATGAAATTAAAGTTAGTTAACGTTGTCAGATTTTAATTTTGAAAAAAATATTTGAATTCAGCAGAAAAATGACTGTAGATTGTGTGCAACATTTTCCGTTTTTAATTTTAAATGTAATTTAAATAATGTTTCGGAAAAGTTCATACTTTCAAATTTTCAATTTAAGTTTACAATAATATAAGACTTAATTTTTTTTTAGTTCTGTACGATCTTTAGACAATTTTTTATCGAGTTTAGAAATTTTTTTAGAATAAAAATTGGACAACGTAAACTAACTTAAATTTTGTCAGAAATAGAGGTTTTTTGAGCTAAAATTGACGGCAGTAACTAGGCTTCTTAAGCGAAAACCACAAGCTATGAATACTGTGCAATACACTTTTAAATGTTTTTGCCGATTTATCATATTATTCTTTGTTTATTTCAATATTTTGCTAAATTATGTTTACACTTAGAACTCCACACCTACAAATATTGCCTTCGTCTCACAGACGTACAAGTGTACAACATACCAAATAATTGTATATGTTCACAATGATCCAATATAGTTGGTAATTTTTAAAATTAGACTGAATTAACCTACATTAACCTACTATACTTAAAGTTAGAGATTAAGTTGTTTTGAAATAAACTGAGATTTAATTTATTTTACAAATAATTTATTTCATTCATGATTTTTCTATTGTTAATGTACACTTATATTATTAACTATATGAGAACAACCAATAAATGTATGTTAACACCAATGTATTAATTGTAAAATATTTGTTTTTATGTTTCGTCAATCCCAACCTCGTTGCAACCACAACATTGCTACCATTGAAAACAGAGACTTCACAAGTACAGCCCTGGTGACCACCTATTATGGGGTGAACATTATATACGTGTGCATCGTGGCCAGCACGTTTAAGCAGGTAGGCACCACGATCTTATTCGGACAACTGGATATACATTATTATAATTAATTGGGAAGTCAGAATAGACCTAATTCAAGGTTTGATCCAAATATTTTAGTAACATATTTATAATGTATTATACATCTAAAATGGCTGCTATTTTACCATAATTTACAAAACAACGTTAAAATCTATTTGGTTTTTTTAAAACAATTTTTTCAACATTAGAGAGAAGCTATTAAATAGAGTTAATTTTTAAAAATATTAATAAAACAAAAGAATTTATAAACATAAGCTATCTAATAAAATAATGTATACAATTTGCCGTATAAATGAAAATAGAAAATTGTTTGTTTTATTCAAAGTTCGTTCAATTCAATTTTTTTTTTTAATATTATCAACTTCATAAATGGATTTTATATCATGATCGATGGCCATTGATCACATTAAAAAAACTATATTAAAATATTCACGTTTTACAATATTAAATTATTGACAAGGGTTATTATTACTCAACAACTAATTAACATACTGAGTGCATATACACTTATAATGACTATGGCATTATTTTAACACAATTTACACCATGGACAACCTGCGCTCGGTCCTGTTTCAGCTTATCGACCAGTATACCGCCGACGCAGCTGTGGACTCGTGGAGCCATTCGATTCATGGGCTGTCCATCCGCTGGTACCCGATCTTTGTTTCGGTGCTAATCATCCCTGTGGGTATGGTCAGGTTGATCAAATACCTGGTCCCCTTCTCAGTTGCCGCCAACGCATGCATGTTGGCAGGGACCGCGGCCGTGTTCTACTTCATTATATTCGGTGACGATAGGTCGGACCCACTCGCACCCGAAGAACAAGCCAAGCTGATAGTGTGGCCAGTCACCCGGTGGACGCTGTTCGCCGGCAGCGCCCTGTGCTCATTGGAGGGCGTTGGAATGGTAATAGTTACTTGGACTTAATATGCCAAATCATATAGTATACTATGTTTTAATTCAGTAAATTATTGTAGTAGGTAAATTATAAGAATACGATCAAAACGTGTAAAACGCAAATATTATTTTCATAAATGAGAGGTGGAAATCCAAAACGTACTATTGTCGAAATACTGATTTTTCAGAATAAACGATTTTCTGTACCTGAACACTGCCAATAAAAACAAACATTTATAAATAGACAAACCATTTTGAAGATAAGGTATTTTTTTAAATTTATTTATTAATATAATTTTTCGTTTAAAAAAATTCAAATGACGTGTTCAATATTCTAGGAATATATTTTAAATTTAAATTTTGTACGTTTTGGTTTATTTTACTTAACAACACCTAAAACACGGGTAATAATATGTTTTTTCATAACATAAAAAAATATTCGTTTTGGAATAATTCATTTGATTAAGGTATAGTCTTTTAATATAGGCAATAGTACGTTTTGGCATAACTGGAAAAAGTACGTTTTGTTTATCTAAATTTCATTTTTATGTGTGGAAAAGATTCGGTTTAGATTAACCAGTTATTTTGAATGGCGGATTTGACCAGAGAATAGTGCCTTTTGATCTATTCTAACGAAGAAAACCGGTTTATCATTGATTTTTCCATAAGAATCGCCATCTTAGCTTAGGTTAGGATTTTGTCTATTTTGTATGTTTTGGATTTCCACCCTTCATTAGTATAATTTCAATGTTTTTTATTATCAATTGATATACATTTTTATATATTAATTTTTGTTTTTCAATTTATTATGAACCTCCAACTCAGTATCGGTGATACTACACAATTTTTTTGAAAAATCGAACAGAAACCAACAAGACATGCATTAATTATATCAACGGTTCTTAAATACACTTAATTACATTTTTAATATTAAATCTATTGACGTCATTTTATTTATTTTGTATATTTAGATTAATTTGCTTAATATTCATAATATATACTTTACGACCCTATAGTCGGTATGTTAAGGATTAATTATCACGTATTCGTATAATGAATGAGCATAAACATCACGTTAAAATATTGAATTGTACCTAATATTCAATATAGGCATAGGTACCTACAGGTATATAATTTTTCTTCTTGTGAAATAAAAAATAAATAATTACGGTTTGTCTCCATAAAAGTCTTAACGATAAATCTAACACACAGTAGTAATATTATAAATTATTTTAATCTATACTTCAATACTTTTTCAACTAAGCTATAAACGTGATTGAATGACACTGTATCAATATAAAATACGATCATAAAATTATATTTATTACCTACTTATATTATTATAGTTGTATATTTTTCCTGCACATAACAAAATTATTTACTAGTTGACAATTCAATGAGTTAATTTCTATATTGAGGGTCGGTAGAATTTTTTTGATTTTGGATTTGGTTTAAACTTTATGTACATTGTATATACTAAGATTATGTATATTTATTTAAAATATTTTTTATTATATTACGACCCTAGTTGATTTGAAGTTCTTAGAACCAGGACTCACTTGACTATGGTGGAATAAAAATCTATAGTAAAATATACTCTTATGTAAATATTATTTACATAATTACACTATATATCTATTATGTAGTTGTAAGACTGTGTTTGGTACGATGAAGAAGATTAAAATCCACGAAAAATTTACTTGAAATTATATGCAATATCCTATAATATGCTATGATTTCGCAGCCACGTGTGTTTCATTCAACGCTTCCCAAAATCAAACTCAATATAAAACCTTTTTCTGGTTAAAAGTCAAAAACGGAAGTGAGCTAGTATTATAAGCAAAATGAAGTACATTTTTTAAATCTTGTTCTAATCAATTCACAATAGTTATTAACCTAACTTGACCAGGTAAAAAAAAACTATTAACTTGACGCCCAGCTTTGCATATGGAACACAATAATAATGCGATATTGAATATTGTTTTATTATAATATTTTGCGTTTATTATAAGCCTATAGGCTATAATATATTGCGATGTTGTGGCTTAACTCGTTGGTGTCTCTTTGCATGTACCTGTCCATTGCCCGGTCCGAACAAACACACGAAAAGTTGTTGCACATCGAGAACGCGATGAGCAGGCCGCTGGAACTCGCCGGACCGCCCGCTTACACGCTGCACCGGTCCATGGTGGTCATCGTCGTGATGAACAGCGCGCTGGGCCTGTTCGGCTATTTGCGGTACGGCGACCGGTGTGCGGGCAGCATATCACTCAACCTGCCACAGGACAACCGGTTAGTAACCAAATGCGTTTTACTGTTTTAGGTGCATAGTATAGTAAATATATGTGTAAGTGTGCGTGTGTCGTACTAATGTTATCAAAATGAAATTTAAAATAAAAATAATTATAATAATAAATTAAAAACCGTAGGTATACCAATCTAAGACATAATAATAATATTATGGTAAGATAAAAAATGCGTTTCTCTACGACGACGTTTAAAAAAAAAAATAACTTTCCAAAACTATAATAATATACAAAACCGTTCTCCATGTGATCGCCACGTGTTTCACGAATGTTAATAATGTATACTGTATAGCTGTCATATCATATTTACTGCATTCGGCCTACCTGGTGCGCTGCACTAGCCAGCGGTTGTAAGTATCTAAGCAGTTGGAGCAGGTTATAGGTATAGGTTATACAGAGCGATCTATTTGACTGGCTTCGCTAATCAATTGCAGAAGAACATTTTTTTTATCAAAAATAGTTAGATGAACTAAAGCATTAAATGTATTTTTTTTTTACTACTTCTCATACCACTATGGTTGTATTTAATATAATAATTTTAATTGTTCAGTTTTTAACGTACACGTGAAATGTGGATGAGTAAAATATTACGTGTGCATTTTAAACCTGTAGCATTTAGAGTGGAACTATACTCATATTTCAAACTCGAGAGTGATTAGAGTGAAATTGGAGTGTAACTCTACTTATGTTTTACTGTACCTATTATAAAAGCACACACAAAAAAATTAATTATTCTTACTATTTATAAGCGAGTGTCTATATATTTTGCTTGTTGAAATGGATATCTTTTTTACATTTAATATACTTACATTGTATATTATGATCTATTAAATACATTTACATGTTATGATTTCTTGGGTGAATGTTGAAACAAATAACTATTCAATAGCATTTTAAGATTACATTTTATATTTTAGTAGTCATCTTAATTGTAATAGTTTTCCACTAACCTACAGCCCGATGACAATTTAGGGACAAAAATACATTTTCATCGGGTGCCTTAATAATTAAGAAATCATAAACTCATAGACATAGGAAGTTTCAATATAATTCGTTGTTGGGTAAAGGTACCAACCAATTAGGTTAGGTTTCGGTATACAGTATAAATATCTTTATACAGGCGACTAAAGTTTGTTCTATATTATTATTTATTAGTAATTCATATAATGAACTATTATTTAATTTGTATCTGTAAATTTAAGTTCTACATTTTTAAATACCTACACAATTTTTTTCTTTTAATATTTTTGTATTTTTCAAACTTATCAACTATAAGCTGTAATAAACAATAATATTTTGAACATTAACTTGTAAGTTAAATGGATAAGTTAAAAAACTCAACTCTGAATTTATGAATCCATTAATGCCCAACCTTGTAAATACTTACTGTAATACCTAATTACTATAGGTATGTAAAAACATTTTTTTTTTAAACAAAAATTGACAAGAATGAGTGTAGATTGTTTAATATGAACCACTTTGTATACCTACTACCTACGCAGCGAATAAAGAGAGGTCATTTTTCGGTTTCGTTGCATATAAAGTGGTATAATATATTTCATATTATAATATAGGCTCTACGCTTATACTAATATTCAAATGAATGTACGTTGTTGTTTACTCATTTCTAGTTATGTCTATAGAATTATTTACTGGTAATAAAACTTCTACGTATCCACTATGTGTTCGACGATAAAACTACGAGGCTCTAAAATACTGTCACCACGACCAAACCGTAATAACTTTAGGCAGGTGAAAAAAAAATTGAAAACCCGTAGTCCTTGAACTCAGATGACTACGATTTACATAATTCCGATTTTGGTTTTTAATATTTCATTAAGCATTATATCCTTCGTCAGAACCACCATGCACTCACGCCCCCCCCCCCCCCCCAATTGTTTGCTTGAACTATGGCACCTTGTCTGACGACCATTAAAAAAAAATAATTCAACCTAATCACTTATATATAAATTTCCTATTCGAGATCGTCATATAATTTTAGTTATAGCTACTTTAAATACGTTTGGCAGCGCATCAAACAAGCTCATTATAAGCTTATTGTTATAAACTGTTGTCAGTTTATGAAAAATATAGATTTAATTGTTTAACTGACCACTATGATTTTGACAGCCTTGTTATTATTAGGTTTAATTTGTTTCAATGGGTTAATTAAATAGTTCCAGTGCTAGTAAATAAACATGTCGAGAAAATTAAAAACTAAATATGAAAATACTGAATAATAATTATGGGCGTGTAGGCATGGTCAAAGCGGAGAATAAAAAAATTAGCCTTCGTGGGAAGCCTGGCAGATGTGAAACGTCGAGATAATTTTGAATAGCAAATATACATCAAAATTGAAAGGATGGTTTATTTTAGAGGAAATAAATATGGCATAATCAAAAACAATATGTAATTCAGTTTATTTTTAAAAAAAATCATTCTTTATTTTAAAGGTAGATTAGATGTTTCGCATCAAAACACATATAATTTTGAATTTTGAAAGAAACAACAAAATAACAAGAAACCCATCTCTTAGAAAGTACAAATATTAATTAAAAGTATATAATATCGTATTATATTGTATGACTTGGTAAGACCAAAAACCACAATTAACGATCAACCGTCCTCCCGCCTCCAGCTATTGTCGAATTTAATAATTAAATCAATGACGGTGATTTATCATATTATAATATTATTATGTTTTCAATATCAGACTGTCGGAAGTCATAAAACTTATGATCGCCTTGGGTATTCTGTTGACGTACGGACTCCAGCTGACCGTCACGTCAGATCTGGCGTGGCAGGGACTGCGTAGCAAGTTCGTTAAGTCCATAGGTGGATCCGCTGATTGCAATGATGCAGTGGAGGACGATGATTCTTCCCCGAAAATGGTGACTTACTACTACAGCATGCGGTTCTTCCTCATATTCGGCACCAGTAAGCATGAATAGAGTATACCGTATACACGCAGTACCAATCCATAATATTAAGATCTTTAAGAAATTAATGATCACCAAAAAAAAATACGTCAAGATTCCCGAGGATTGGACAAACCGTATAACTATTACGTATTACGTATTTTAGCTTCCGACCAAACCACCATTTCGTAACCAGGTGGTGACTTAGGAGAGGGGGTTCTAAGCCAAATATATATTCTGGATAATAAATCACAAAAATTGTTTTCTCTGATGAGGCCTACGATTGGCACTCTGCATACTATTACACTATTTCTCAAATTGCTTAGATTTGTTGTATAATATAATTTAAGGACTTTGGTCTTGTAGCGATACAAACTTTTTTTTCTAAATGAGAACCAACTTTTTTTCTGTAAATTATTAAGCTGATTTTTTAGTTATAAATCTAAATAATTTAGCATATGGTTTTTAAATATAATTATAAATATTACATGTATTTTAAATATTGTTGGAAATTTATATTGATTACAATTTACAAGCAATTTGCAAGTATACTAAGTTAGTAAAACTGTGCGAGGGTGTAGGGGAAATGTCCATACAGACAAAAAGAGAAAATATGAAGGCTGGGGGGCTGTAGCCCCAAAAAAATACCACTCATAAACCCACACCACCATGTGTAAGGTTAGAGTCCACGGGACCGTGTTGATTCACATGTCTAATTTTTTCTCCAAATATTGCAGTAATGGTGGCCGTAGCCGTGCCTGATATCGGTCCACTCGTATCGCTCGTGGGTTCAGTGGGGTTCTCATTGCTGGGCCTGGTCATTCCCGTTGTTATGGAAACCGTATGGTACTGGTCCGAAGAAGACGATGATAGTCAGGAACAGGACTGCTGGGACGGGACGACGGTGACGGACACATCGACGACCGCGGCAGTGGGTGGTAGGCCACCCACACCGGTGGCTGTTGCAGCTGGCGGCGCAGAACGTAGGTCGTCCAGCCGAGGTGGAGGCTGTCGCCGAGTCATTCGGCACGTGAAGAACCTGATACTCCTTTTGCTCGGCTTGTTGGCGTTGGTCGGCGGCGCATTCTATAACATCCGCGACATCGTGGCTAGGGCTTCTGGAGACGGCTCGCCAGCACCTTCCATCTGACGGACGCGGCAGTATTCCGCGGACAATTTTATATTTAAAGTTTTTTGTTGTTGTTGTGTATGAAATATAAGGGTCTAAATATTATAAACGCGATAACATGATATTGTCATAACCACAGATAAACAGGTACTAACTTGAAACTATGGCTGAAACACGATGGCGTGATATTATATTATAGTCAAAGAGGAAATGCCAATAGGCGAAACAAACGTTCTCAGTTATCAATTTGTGATGAAATGATTCAACACAATAATTATCGACGAGTACTTTACGTTGATAATAATTATTGAAAAAGTTTGTTGACCGAGTTTTCCTCTTTGCACGTTTCACCTACAACAGAATAGTGCCATTTAGTATTACCTAAATAATGTATATTATGCATCTGTTGACATAACAATATTATTATATAAATATATAGGTGTATTTATACTTTACGACTGTGTGTATCTTTTGTTCCAAAAACGAATACGATTTAAACTTAAATGATCAAAACGGTGTAAATGTATATAAATGCTTCCCAACCTTCTTGTTATATGACCCACACATTTTTAGATAGACGACTCGCAATTAAAAATAAAAATAAAAATCAAGTATGCCATAATATGATTGTAATATTATAATCATTTTGATATGTCAGCAATTACATCATACAATTTTCAAAATAAAATGCAATGTTGAATAATGAGTAGGTAGATACTACATTCTGTTAAATATATAGATTATTGTCGGATTCAAATTATAATATTTTTTTTTTTCATTAGTGTACTATTATTATTTTTTTTATCCAACATTGGGTCAATACCCATGGGTTAGGAAACTCTAGTATAGACTATAGGTTAGGTTTTTTGGTGTAAATATCATCAAATTAATTGAAATATTTTTAAAATGTAATTTTGCAAAGTAAAAAAAATATTGTAGGTAGTGAAAAGTTTCATTAATATTTTTGGAATTACATCAAAATAACTAAAATCATTTTCCTGTATTTAATTATCCAGTTTTAATAAGGTATAAAATTTAAAAATCTATAGAAAAAAATTGCGCATTTAATTTTTAAGTTTCTTAGTTTTCTTTAGACTGTAAGAACAATGTATAAGAAACCTTGTATTGGATTTTCAAATTGTGTGCAGAAAATAAAAAAAAATTAAGTAACAATATTTATGATAAATCAATAAAACTAAAAATTTAAACATTTCAAATGCCTAAGAAAAACTTTAAAATTTGACAAAATATTTTGAATTTTCATTTTGTTTAGAAAAATAAAATTTAAGTTATTGTGAAATGTTTTACATTTCTAGAGTTAATTCGAGCCATGGTAAGTAAATGAGACTAGTGCCTTTCTGGAATTAATACTTACTTATATTTGTTGTAAATACAAAAGATTTTTTAAACAAATATTTTTAATTCATCTTGTTCGATAGGAATAATATATTAGTTAGCTATTACCAGGAAAAATAAATGTTATTGATAAGGTAGTAACCAAAAATAATAAGTGGCTAGCCTAGCGAAAAAATACTTTGATTATTACCGTCTATATAGTCATACATATTAAATAATACCTTATAATACGGTTGTGTTTGATAATGCCTCATTATGATTTAATATATGGAGCTTAGAGATTAAAGGTGATAGCCGATAGGTACAGTTATACATTGTAATTTCTAAACTATAGGTAGCTTATAAATGATGGGAGTATGCTATAACCTGTTCTACTTTTTAAACATTGAAATAATTCCATATTTATTTTTTAGCTTGGATAAGTTAAGAGTTACCTATATAAAACATACAACTAAGGAACTGAATTAAATTAAATTATTTATTTTAAAACATATATAAATAACCAATAAAGGATAATTTAATATGCATTTATTCATATGGAAATCAAAACAAGTTATTACTCGTAATTTAACTTGTAATTTTATCAAATGTCCTGGCTACTGTCAACAAGAAGTTCATTTAAGGATTAGGTACATTTATAATTTCTTATGATGCATCATTAATAATAGGTAATTGTATTATATATTATATATTATTACATAATTAATCATAAATGAATATAACTTGAATTTTATTGAAAATAACTTTAAAAAATGTAACACAACTTAACTTCAAATTTTTAAATTATCCATGATCTACAGCATTAAAAAAAGACATTTTGTTTTTTTGTATAGGTTTTTACAAATAATAAATAAGGTATTTAATTTAAACAAGTAAAAAGATTATTAAACATAAGAAAGTTTTAAATATTGTTCTAAATTAAAGATATTATTAAGTTTATATTACGTGCTTTTTTTATAGAACCTGTAAAATGTTTATTAGACAAAAATGAAAATATAACTCAGTAAATGTGTGTAACAATTTTATTAAAGAAAAGTAATAAAATACAGAAATGCAAAATAAAAGTTTTAAAATTAAATTCTTAGGTAGGTTGTAGGTACCTGATTCAAACTTTGAGTTAGAAAGCTAATGACTTAAGTAAAACACGTGCATTTTTAGACATATTCACAGCCTTGCTTATAAGACATGATTGATTATGTTTAAAAACATCATATTAAGCAGTATTTAATATCATAATATTGTCATTATTAAAGTTCGCTGTAAGTATAATATTAATTGAATTCAATCATTTGTATTGACAAGATAATCAAAAGATTTAGTAACATTATATATAAATCAACTGTCGAGTTAACAAAAAGCCTATGCCGATTTACTTCATGACAACATTTTCCTTCAGGCCCTTAAAGGGTGACTTCATCATGTCGCGCCTCTTTCAATCTGCCTCTGTCCACAAATTATCTCATTCAATTACGATTCTGTATGAAATTGATTAAATATTTTTATCATGCAAGTCACTCAAACTTGAAGCTTCGACTCTTAAATATTTTTACTTGTGCAAACTATGTATTTAAAAATCATGTTTTTGAATATCTATAGCGTGCGTTTGGTTTTGAAATTTAAAATTGAATTTAGTATGTACAATATTATAAGTCGTATATTTTATTTATTCGATTTCATTTAACATCTAGAACCTACTTGCTAATGATTCTTGACTAATACGTAATCGACTAAACTGTGATTAAATTAACGATTTCTTAATAACATTGTTACTAAAAATGTAATCTATATAGTTTATTATACTATAACTCGATTGATAATATAAATATTTATTATGTTATTTTTAAGAATAATTTATAGTTTACGGTTCTTATGAAAAGATGTCAAATACAGCAGATATACAAATAATGAGGAGTTATCACCTTTCTGAAGAAATTGACAGGTAATTAACAACTATTTAAAAAAAAAACTGAATGGTACCAAATGTTTTTTTTAAATTTTCTCATCAAACCTGTTTAATCATTAACATATACAACTACACAATAAAACACTTAGGTAGTTAGAATCTTAAAATAGGAGAGGTTATTCAGTATGCTTCGTATCTAATAGATGCTATTTCTATACAGGCGCGTCCTCAAGGGGGGGGGGGGGGGAAGGGGCGTTCGCCCCCGCCATAACAATTTTTTATATATAAAATTACTATTATGTCAACAAAATTAAAATGATCAAAATTATAATACGTATAATATATAGATTTTAAAAATAGGTTCGCCCCCCCCCCCTTGAAAACTGTCTAGGGACGCCCCTGTAGTCTATGATACAGTAATAACAATAATATAAAGGTATCTAACTAGGTATAACTATCTAGTCCTAGGGGTTACCAAACAGTAAAGTTTTATGGCAGTATAAATAATTACTTTTTTTTTAAATCACAATACTAATAATAATAAGCTATTCAAAAAATAAAATATAAATAATGAAATGATAATATATAAATATTAATAATGAAAATATTAAATAAACAAACTAATTTAGCAAGCCAACAATTATCCAGCATTTTCAAAAACAATAGGTAACAATAGGGTAAAAGTCAGTGATAGTAATAACTAATACCTAGGTTTCATACAACGGAAAAAGAAAATTTAAAAAACCATTGAACGGATAAAATAAAGCCAAATTCAAATTTAACATATGAAATAGACAAATCATAAAACTTTATATCCAATTTAAAACAAAATCATAGAGTTAAAATAAAATAAAATAATTGAAAATAGAATCTTAATTGTGTCTTAAACGTATACATACAAATTAACATATAGATCTATCTTAAAAATTTACAAATAAGTAGTAGTTCAAAATTCAAATCCAAAATTACTCGAACGAATAAATTGTTATAAAATTAAAAAATGTATTATGAATAAATTGATTGCCCGATAATGTGAAGTTAGGCAAAATATCCTCACTAATTTTTGTGTTCCTCCATATGACCTTCATCATTATTCCATCATTTCTATACATAATCATATTATTATATTTTATTGGTATTTGTGAAATATTGGTTTAACATTATATCTTTTTTTTAATAGATATACAACTTCAATATATTTCTATTATTTTTCAATTTAAATATTGACCACCAAAAACGTCCATACAAAATAATCATTTGGCAAATATCACAAAATTACGTCATGTATCATGGTTCAAAGGTCGTTACAGAAACTCGTTATTATTATTGCAAACATTAAGCACGAATTCGGAAAACTATAAAAAAAATTATTATATAATACTCGTATAGTTACAGATAAGGAGAGGAGAGTAATATCATTGCATTGCTAGTATAAAATCAATGGCTAAACAAAACCTATAACAATTTGATAAAAATATTAAGTACTAACGTTATTCAAATAGAGCACGAATGATGAAGGAAAATAGTACACGATCAAAAATCATGATTAAATAAAAATATAAACTAATGAAAATAAAAAAACATTTTAGAATATTGTAAGGATGAAAATTATATATTTCATTAATTCATGATATCGGTTTCTGTAGTTTCGTGCTAATTATTTACTCACCTAGTATAAAAATGTCATTATGACATTGTGTTTAATCAAAACATTATAGTAGGTACGTATGATTTACTTTATCTAAAATGATAAACACATGAAAATAATAAAAATGAATGAACTGTTGATTTTAATATTAAGGTTGTTTTTACATGACCGTCAAGTACCTATAATATTATTAACTATTTTTTTCTTCTGATTTATTAAATTTCAACGTATCATTACAATGTATAGATCAATTTTTAGGTACATTAAAAATCTGCTATACATTGTAACTTAAAATGTTTCATTCATTCATAGTTTTTTTTTAAATTTATTATGAAAACCTATTTTGTTTCTCTCTCAACAGGCTTAAAAAGGTAATAAAAAGGTTCTGTTGTTCTTGAAGTGGTTATAAAAACGAAAAAAAAAATTGCCATGTTTTTTAAAATAAACATTTGAAGTTTAATTTGAACAACATTAGTAATACAAAAGAATTATAAAGATTTTTTTCTCAATCCGTTTAAATTATTTCGTTGAAATATAAAAAAAATATACAACGTCAAGAATTGAAGCTTCTTCAGCTCATCTTTATGCGTATGTTATTATTTTCTATAGAATTACAATTTTTATAATATTTATATTTTTAACTGTACGGTGGCCGTTGGGTTTGACTGGGACCGTGTTGCTTTTCAATTTACTGTTTCGGGACGGTAAATTATCCCGGAATCAAACTTCAGTAATTTATGTTAACATTTTGTCTTATACTACTTATCAAAACATCCCTTGTAGAAAAATAATATTATTTTCATAAATAATAATCAAAACAAGTTTATTCTTTGATTGACTGGCAAAA